CAAAAAAAAAAAAAAATAGCATGGACATAAAATCATGAACATATGTTAGTGAATTAATCGTTTTGTTTCCAGTCCTGAACAAGTTTAATTGCGTGCTTCTTGCCATTCTATTAGATTACAGTAATTATTTTTGATTGATTTAGTATGTTTGGTCGTTTATTTATATAACTAATGTGGAAAATTAAAGTATTAAGGAGTACATAGTTCTGTGAAATTGATAGAAATGTGTTTAGGGAATTTATAGTTTCCTGTCACTGATTTATCCTTGGGGAAATATATGTATAACATCATTTGTTTTGCTTCCCAATTACTGTAGGAATACACGATGGACGTTTTCTTTCGTCAGACATGGGTGGACAAGAGATTAAAATATGATGGTCCTATTGAAATTCTGAGATTAAACAACCTGATGGTTAACAAAGTGTGGACCCCAGATACTTTCTTCCGGAATGGGAAAAAATCTGTGTCTCATAACATGACAGCCCCAAATAAATTATTTAGAATTATGAGAAATGGCACCATTCTCTATACAATGAGGTAGCTGCCTTATCTTTTCTTCTATATTTGTACCTGAGTTGTTAATTGCTGGTGTACTCTACCATGCCAGAACTAACTTTATGTGGTTCCTGTAGGCTCACCATAAGTGCTGAGTGTCCTATGAGGCTGGTGGATTTCCCAATGGATGGCCATGCCTGCCCACTGAAATTTGGAAGCTGTAAGTCCCCGTTGTGGCATTTTACTGATGGTATTAAAGCTCCTTTTTTGGTCTTAACGTAAGAAACAGGTCAGAGAATAGCCAGAGGCTCTTGTCTTTGTCAGATAAGAAAGCCGAGGCCGGCTGTAAGCAATAGGAACGCTTTCGCTGGGCTTTGAGATAAGTTCTGAAGACAAAGGTCCTGTCCATTCATTTTTTTCTAAATATATCTCGTTCAGATGCATATCCAAAGAGCGAAATGATCTACACCTGGACAAAAGGGCCAAAGAATTCAGTGGAAGTCCCCGAAGAGTCTTCCAGTCTGGTTCAATATGATCTGCTTGGACACACAGCATCTACCGACACAATTAAGTCCATCACAGGTAGGGTTCTTCAGCGTTACGGTGGTCCTGCTTTGCTTGGCAAGAAACATGAGAGGCATAAGCAGATAACAAACTTTAGGAGGTTTATCCTGATGTAAGGTTTAGCTAAACCTAGTTGTTCATTGCTGTGTCATTCTTCAGGAAGCGAAGTGAAGATGGTTAAAAACGCAATTAAGAGCATGGGAGGTTGTAGCAAGCGACACGTTTTCACAGCTACGTGCTTGTCGGCGCTGATCATTAGTTGTGAATTACCGTACAACAGAAAGATGCAGATGGTCCAAATAAATTCATATGAAAATGCTGCTAGAGCAAATGTATTAAGCACAACAGCTATTACTGTTCCTGATGGTTTTTAAAATAATGTTAGAAAATAGCAACAGCAAGAGAAATGACAACACTGATGGTCTGTGGGTGTTTTTGTTTCTTTCTTTTTAATTAATGGTCGTTGGGTATGTTGTATGAAGACTTACTAAATTTGCTATTATTGGTGCAGCTGAAATCCTGTAACTCATGACAGAACTGGGCAGCAGGGGGAGCAGAAGTATCTGGCATATTTTTGAATGACATTATTGATAGCAAGAGGAAGCAATATTTTCATAATGTATTGGAAACGATCAGTCAGTGAGATGTCGTCGATCCCTTATGGAATCATTCAGGAAGACGTTCTACAAAGAAGCTATCTTCTTTTTTTAAAAAATAACTTTATTAGAAGTTTAAGATAAAGAGATAAAAATTAACAAGAACTCATAAGATAGAAAGTAGAGGAGAGAAAAAACAAGGAAAGAATGAAAAAGAAAAAAAAGGAAAGAAAAAGAAATACAAAAGAAAAATGACTTCCAAATTTCTTTTACAGCAGATATAAGTATTAATTTGCTTTAAGCTCTTACTCTAAGTTTACAACATAACTCTAATTTTTTTCTATTGTCTACTATTATTTCTAATCATCAGATCCATATATCATGATTTCATTTTTTTCTGTTTCACACAAAAAGTCCAAAAGGGGCTTTCAATCAGCATTAAAATTAATCAATGTCTTTTCTGTTATCAAAGCTGCCAATCTCATCACCTCGGCCATCTCAGAGATGGCAAAGAAGCTATCAAGGGATAACATCTTGGCCAGATCTTAGCATATTTTCTGTTCAGTATTTGAGGCTGTGTTAAAGAACAGCCTTCTCACCCCAGTGCCTTTAAATTTGCATCCTCGTGATTTAAAATTAAGTTTGAATAGCAGCCAATATTGGAAAGATGATTTCATAGAAGATGGTTCACTAGAAGACTCAGGTTCTTTACAACTTTTCTTTAGATGGGTGGAAGTATGACAGATAACTGAATAGTTCTCTGATGATTTAGGGGCAGAGAGGGAAATTTTAACTGTGTAGAATTAAATAAAAAAGTAAATTATATTGTTCATAAATGCACCTTGATAACTGCTGAACTACTTGCTTCCTATCATATCAAATGCTAAACACCAATGGCTCTCTGAAGGTTCAATAAACTTGTTTTTCATTCCTACCAAAGGTGATAGGAATGGATATGAAAAGAGATTGCCAACTGCCCAGTAAGTTACAGTAATATTTTGCTTTGGTAGGCCATGTTATCTTTGGAAAAGCCTGGAAATTCATGTAAACATAGGTACACTTAAGAAATCTTAATTATTTACAGCTGTGCCTTTGAATCTCTTTTTACTTTTCTATGGTGTATTTAATCACTCCTTAAAACAGCCTACAGGGAGGTGAGAGACCATCCCACTTTTTAAAATGTACCTTACCTAGACAGATTCATTTATTCTCTATTGTGAAATAATCTCATTTCTCGTTTGCGACACTGAACCTGAAATACTTGTTGTCTAGCAGGGAGTTCTTGCTGCTACGGGCACTTCCCCAACTTACGTTCTGGCATCAACCAGATAGTGCCCTTCCATCCATGCAGTTCCTTGTATGGACTCTGTGCTGGTGCAAACCAGACTCAGCAGACTTTGCTCCGGGTTTGAGCAGGATCCGTGCAGTTTCTCAGGAGGTCCCTTTACTCTGTCAACAGCCTTGTCAAAGTTTCCTTGATAACAATGGCAAATAGTAGTGATTTGTCAACACTGTACCACAGAAGCAATGTAGAAGCTGAAAAGAGCAGCTAGATCCATCCAGCTACTTGTGAGAGATTATGGGAGACCAGGAAAGGAATAGGAAGGACATAAAATATGAAGTGGTGGTTGGCGAGGCAGTAGACAGCTTCTCTCATAAATGGCAACTCAGCCCAGGTGGGAAGAAATCTGGGCGGAAGCCTTGCAAAGTGTTCAAAAGATTCCCCCTTTATTCACTTGCTATAAATGAGGCTGGGAGATTTTGCTTACACTTTCCAAGGCTCTGCATTTCTTCCAGATTAGCGTTGCATTTGAAATCTGTGTAGTTCTTGCTTCCTTGAACTCGCTCAGTTGCACGGGGCTCAATACTCTCACAGCTTGGTCAGTCAGGCAGGAAAAAAAAAAAAGGTTGGATCCAAATTATACATCAGGGACACACAATCTAATTAGCTGTTTTGGTGGACAAGTCAAAATAAAAACATGTACAGAAGAATTTGGATCGGGGGACTTTTTGAGAGCCAGCAATTGTGCTTTCCTGTTTTCTTCTGGGAGGAGGCATCGGTGGGTGGGGATGTGACACTTGAGATCGTTCCGAGATGTGCAAAATGGCTGCGGGTAGTGATGGTGGTGATGCTCGTAGGCCGTGACCCAGAGAGCGCTGACTCATACGTTACAGGATCAGTGACACTTATTGGCAGGGCTAAGTCTTGTGAAGGTCAAGTGATTTTTGTAAGAGCACATTCTACTTTTAAATTTCATACAAACACTGTCTATTCCTTCTTCTCGTGCATTATGTTGACTCTGATCATTATTACTATAATGATAATAATAATTATTGACTTATGATGGTGATGATAATCACAGCAATGATTATTTTGATGTATCTTGACACATTTGCCATTATGCTTGCCATTTGGGACATTGGAAATGATAACTATAGAACGTCGTTTACATTTCATGCTGAATCCTCTGTTTGCCTGCTAGCGTTATTTATTAAGACAGATGAAAAATACTGCTTTTGGTTTATAAAAATGTCCGTTTGGTATGCTTGCAGGGAAGATAAAGATTGATGGTAGAGTATGAGGCCTGCATGCAGAATGTTCTAGATGATTCAATTTTTGTCTGGGAAAGATTGGAAATGTCACCGCCGCTGCCTCTCAAGAGAGATAATGCTGAGCTAAGTTTTATCTAGACAATACTGAGCTTAGATCTATCTAGACAATACTGAACTAAGATCTGTGTAGACAATACCGAGCTACATGCTCTGACTTGGTTCATGGGACTTCCCACGTTCTTAAACGAGATGAAGATTTTATTAAAATGTGCTTCTGGCTGGTTTTGCTCCTGTTTTAGATAGAACAGCTATATTTGGAAAATGAACCAGTTTGTGATTGCTTCATTCACAATCTGTGTTTTGCTCTGAGTGTTTATGGTAGATGAGAATGGAAATACTTGCAACATAATCCATTCAAAAATTAGACTATGTAAGTTGGATTGTGCCATTTCAGCTCCCACAAATTTGGGGATTTTTAAAAAGTTTTATTTTTTTCCCTGGAATGTATTGGTTAATACAGTGATTACTATTTAAATATCTAATGGAACGAGAAGATATTTGGGGCAATGACAGCCTCTGTGCTGTGAGGCTGTTACTGAAGGCCTATGTTTCAAAATGGGATTG